CCCCCTCCCCCGCCTCCCCCACCAGGCTCGAGTATGCTCCCGAGATGCTGCCTGGGTTCAGGAACCAGCGGCCCCCCCGCTCGCTCACCTGCTGCTTGTGCGTGTGCCCCGTAATGAGCACGTCCACATCCAACTCCCGCGCCAACCCGTCCAAGGCCGCCGCCTCCCCCCACGGAAGCACCTGGTGCCCGTGGCAGAGCCCGAGCCGGAGCTCCCCTATCGTCACCACCTTGGTGTCGGGGAAGGGGGCGGATGCCGGGAGGGAGGAGGGGCAGGCCTCGTCCATGTCTCCCCGGACCACGTGCACGTTGGGGGCCAGGGCCTTGAGCTCCTCGAGCTGTTCGTGACTGACAAGGTTGCCTGTTACGGGGAGGAGAGAAAAGGAGGGGTCACGGACGCGGAAAGCGCAGGATCTCACGGGAAGTGCGCGTAAAGAGGTGGGGCTCTTCGCTCATCCGGTACCCTCCCGCCTGCCGCGTACCTGTACAGAGGACGTGCTGCATCTTGTTGGGCACTAGCATGCGCTTGAATTTTTCGGGGATGGCAGCAGCACGGTGAGGAATGTGCAGGTCACCAAGAACGAGCACCAGCTCACCAAATTCAGCCATCTTAAGTCGGAGGGTGGAAGGGATTAGAGCGGCACACGATGACGAATGTCAGCGAGGTCAAGGACGGCTCGATGTAGCCATGCCCCACACAACATTTTCAGGGTTTCCTCACGGTTATAAAATCTCAACCACGGCAAGGGCTACATAGTCTAGCCAAATCTCAGTGTCTTCGAATCCTCTCACCGTAATTAGACTTTATGAACGTCCTTCCAAACCAAAAATGTGATCGTACGACCCAGGGCGGCCGGAGGGGAAGAAACGCCGCTGCCTCTTGCTGCGATGAAAGCACTATATCCCAATGCAATGTTAAGTTACGGTCACCACGGCGTACCTGTCGATTCGCACATGTCGTGAGTAAGCTTTGGGCGCAAAGATGTGCGGCATCGCGGGGCAACAAACAGCAAAGCTTTCCCTCGTCCTTGCCGTGGTCGAAAGCCTGCAAGTCATCGCTCATGGCGACTCCCCCGGGACGATGTCTTATGCCGCCATATTGCTTTAATTTTCATGCCGCACTCATTGAGAAAAGCTAGAGGCTAGATGAGCGTATATGGCAGCCTCCATCTAACTCAGCGTCTCACCATGGCGATCTTTTTATGGCACACCGACAACGTCACCTCCGACTCACCCATGAAGCACCTTCATTTTTCCCCTCACACGGCCGCCTCGGTCTGCCTCAAGGGACGTCGGGGAACGAGGCATATCGAGTAAAGCGGCATGTCCAGTGCGTAGCGAGCCAGTTGTGGACGGGACAGGACGATTGACTGGGAAATGGCGCACCCTCCCAGCACTGTTCCCCCCTTCTTGGGAGTAACGCCGCCCGTCAACGTGGACCCCCCCACGGAGGCTGAAAGGGAGGCGACTCGGCATCTGGAGGCATTTCTGAAGGAAGCGGGCTCGTATGAGAGTGAAGGAATGTCCGCGGCCCGTGTAAAGGTCATTGCCAAGCTGCAAAGGATGGCGGAGGCATGGTGCGAGGACCTGCATGGGAAAGCAGGCTCGTGTCCGGGGGCCGCGCCAAGGAGTGACGCCCTCTCTCGCCTCGCCACACACGCCGCGTCCAACGACCGAGATGGCTCCACAGCGCACCCTCCTGCGGCCTCCCTCCCCTCTCTCCCCTCCGAGTTCCGCCAAGCCTCCCACCCCAAGCCCCTCCTCCTCCCCTTCGGCTCCTACCGCCTGGACTGCCACGACCCGACCTCGGACCTGGACCTCCTCCTCGTCCTCCCTCGGGGCCTGGCCTCCCGCGCCGACTTTTTCCAGGACTTCGCCGGCCGGGTCCTACGACACCACAGCGGCGTCAGCGGCCTCTGCCCCGTGCCTGAGGCATACACCCCCGTGCTCAAATTTCGGATGGACGGGCTGGCCGTGGACCTCCTCTTCGTCGCCCTGCACGGGGCGGAGGGCGGGGCGAAGGGC